CCTATGTCCATGGGAAAGCAATTAGAATCGTGGACGCTCTGAACCGTTTACCGTTGAATCACCTACCAGATTGCATGCTCAAATTTATAAAGCTTATCCATCTGCTGCAACATTTGGGCCAAAATCCCGTGTCAAATGCAGATATCCGTCAGGAAACTGAACGGGATATATTACTGGCCAAAGTCAAACGTCTAGTCTCTCAAGGATGGCCTGACAGCTGTGAACCGCAACTAATGCCTTACTTTATCCGACGCACAGAGCTTAGTCTCGAGGATGTCTGCTATGGAGATCTAGAAAGATCATACCACTACGGTGGCGACAGAACGTCCTACAAAAACTTCACAAACGCACCCAGGAATCAAGAAAATGAAGGCACGTGCGCGATCCTACGTGTGGTGGCCTAATATTGACAGAGATATCGAAGAGTTGATCCACCACTGCGACGTGTGTCAAAGCACTCAAAGGACTGCCTTTCCGGTACCACTTAGTCCTTGGAAATGGCCCAGTAAACCGTGGGAACGCATACACGCAGACTTCTTTGGTCGTTGGAAGGAAAAACGTTTCTCCTCTTGATTGAGGCTTTTTTTTGTTCATCGCAATCAGCCGACAATTCAGATATGTCGACCAGCTGTCCGGAAAAGCACCAGACGGCCGTTTCGCCCTATTGGGGCTCATCAGTGGTGCGAATCCTTCGGTCCTCTGCGGAGGATCGAACCCATGACTGCTAGTGGCTCTTGCCAACTAGCCCGCAGTTTATGCAACTGCGCCATGGAGGACGGTATCTGACTATCGTGAATTGTTAGCTAAATGCGATATAGCCCGACGCATCCTCCACTGCCATGCAGATGACAGCGGTCGGCCTTGCGGCGTCAGGACTTCCGGTTACGGCAGCTATGAATCGACATAGCATTTTGTGGAATCCGTACGGGCGAACTGGTATTACTTATGAATGGAAGGATTTTGGTGAGTATTTTTGTTCATCGCAATCAGCCGTCTGGTGCTTTTCCGGACAGCTGGTCGACATATCTGAATTGTCGGCTGATTGCGATGAACAAAAAATACTCACCAAAATCCTTCCATTCATAAGTGATTGAGGCTTATTCGAAATGGGTAGTTTTTACACTTACACATGCCTCTCTGAGACGACCGTTTCCTGCATGAGGGTGTTCCAGTAGCTTCGATATAACACATACGCTGGTAACAGACAACGGTTCTGTATTTACTAGTGAAACATGTTAAGAGTTTCTCAAAAACAACGGCATACATCATGTGAAATCACCTCCCTACTACCCAGCTACAAACGGGTTGGCAGAAGAAAGAGCCGTAGAGACGGTAAAGAACGGGCTATGGAAACAGGCGTCTGCTCCATTGCGAACAAGGTTGGATAAATTTCTTTGGCTACCGCACCACACCAAACGAAACTATGGGGAAGAGGCCCAGGCGAGTAGATGTTCGAAGGGAGGTTGAGGACACAGCTGAATCTTCTATTTCCTGACCGGATGCTAGGTGCCGAGTCTAAGACAGAGTACGACCAGGTTTTCGATAAAATTGTCTGCGAGAATGAGCTGGTCTACGTCAAGTTGCCCAACGAAAGGACCTAACAGCCTGGAGAGTTGCGCGAAATTGCGGGACAACATACGGAGGTGGCGTTACCTGATGGCAGAGTAGTTACTCGGCACAACTCCGCCAGATGACGCGTCCTCAAATAAGCATACAGAGTTGACAAATGCGCAGAACTCCTAAAAGTCAGGTCAACCGTAGGCGCAGCAATGTCGCCGTTCAACTCGGCTATGTCGACCTGTCAACCGACACCAAGCCAGATGGAGTGGTCCAAACTAAAGGGAGAAGGAATGTGGCATCCTCACGGCCAATATACTGAGTTTTTTTGGTTTTCGTTTATACTCCGATTTATCACAAAGACTGAGTCCTTCCTATTCGTTGCCTGCATCCGCTGGCGCGTGTAAGTAACTCGCTCACCCACCCATCGATTGGCCTAGTTTAGAATAGTGGATCAATGCACTGTACAAGATGCCGGTTGGAATACAGTTTGCCTTTCGTCTGCCTGAAGTGTTTTGCTTTGTGCTACTTCGACTAAGAGCTCGCCACTGAGCGTTAATTCCGTAATTTGTAAATTGTGACAGGGACTGAATACAATTGGATGTTTTACAGCCCGAATCGTTTGGTTGTATGCTTAGGGATTGAAGAACATCACACCACAAGATAAGCAGTCATTACATAAAAGCTGATTTACCTGTAGCAATACCAGCAATTTCACAATGCGAAGCCAGGTCAGAACCAACTATGTGAGTGAATTAGGGGTATAGTGCCGACAGATACTAAATGAAACTGCTGCATATTTGTACAACCTTATTGTCATATGAATCAGTAAGGACATCTTTGTCAGCAAATCAGATCGAATTATAGATTCTAATCATGAATACAGGTTCAAACTTCGTTCGTAAGAATGTACACTCATCATAGATTTAAACACGTTCAACGATTCAGCAGCTGACAAGGATTGTGGATGTACGAACCTGGAGATCATCGGGATTTAGTCATTTAAAAACGTTCTATGCTACGATCTTCTTTGGGGTTGGTCAGTCGCTACAATCCAACCCTTCCGCATAAGCACCAACATCATGGCTGTTAGACGTGTTTCTGCTCGAAGGAAAATTCTAACTCCATGGGTAATGTGGTAGATGTGAATACCCCAACACATAGTGTTAAAGCATTAATCGCAGCTGGTTCAGAAAAGACAATTGTTCATGCATCTAAGTCGATGTCATCAGTGGAACAATATTGCGATTGTTCATTTAGTGAAAAATAGTTGTTCCCCTTATGGGCAACAAGCAGTCGCTGTTGATAATTGAATCGAAGCCAGGCATGCAGAATTATGGAGAAAAAGGCTATAAAAGCGGGTTAATCCGCCACTTGGTCATTGTATCGTAAAGTGAAGTATGTCTGCGTGAAGGACTATGACCAAGAGGATACATATCCTAGGTTAATGGAAAACCAATGGAACCACCGGGAAGAATCCAGTGCCACAAATATATCTGTAGACTCAGTAGTGGATACAGTGCTAAAGAGAAATTCTGGACACAGACCGCTTTCGGAATGATACGTGACAGGTCTCGGTCCTACTCCAGGCGGTGCGATTGCAAGGTTCTAAGTGTACAAAGAGTAACCAAACATGCGGTCTGCACGAATAATTCTAAAGTGTTAGTGATGATAAACTGGTACTTTATGATAAAATGCCGTCGGGTCCTTGAAGCTTAGCCGGAGGAACAGCACACAAAGAAACTGGATGGTCAGTTGCGCGCGCAATAGAGGCGATGCTATTTAAACTAGACGGGCAACGAGAGCATAATGAGAGTAACATCGTCCTGACTTGCTAGCATATGGTGATGTGTATACTCGGTCTGAAAATGAGAACAAGCAACTCCCGGTTCCTATCGTTGTAACCGCCGTCTAAGGTTAGGGCACGAAAACGAATAACTAAATGACGAAAAAGCGTATAATGAAAGGCGTAAATCCGCAATGCATTTGTAAATATCCCATATGGCTCGGACGACATGTAGTGCTGGACAAAGGGATGAGCAGGTGTCAGTAGTTATGGGAACGACGGTAGCCGGCGAGATGGGCTACGCCAAGGAACTCATACCTGAACCGAAGTGGAGAGTTGTTGGCTTGACGTATTGAGACAAGAATGCTAGTAAAAGTTTCACACATTGGTTAATTTAGACGATGCCGGTGTTTTCGTACCAGATAAAACAACTAACTAAAGGGCCGCGTTTACAGCGCATCAGTTCGCTCAGTATTGTTGTATGGATGCGAGTCCTGGCCGCTTCGCGTGGAAGACATGCGTCGTCTTGTTGCCTTCGATAACGGTTGCTTAAGGAGGATCGCTCGTGTTTGGTGGCAACATCGAGTTAATAATAATGACGTTCGAAGTCGCATCTTGGGGAATGCAAGTATTCCCTTCAACAAACTGATTTTGTTGCGCCAGTTAAGATGGCTCGGTCACGTCCTACGCATGGCATCTGAGCGTCTACCGCGTCGCGCTCTATTCGCTCGTCAAGGACCTGGCTGGAGGCGACCGCGTGGTGGTCAGCCCACAACATATACGCAGCACATGAAATCGTTGACGGCGTGTCTAGCCGCTGTTGGATCCGTACGTCTTCCAGGATGGGGACCCAAAAAGGAGGAGTGCCAATGGCTTAACACTCTTGAAGACATGGCCCGCAACAGGAATCAATGGAAGAATTGTGTACAGTATTGCATTGATTCACAAATTTAATACTACAAACATTAAACTGACAAAAAAGCAAAAGCGGCGTGTGAAAACAAACTAAAAAGGTTTTGTTCTACTTTTTGTCAATATGTTCCATTCTTCCTGCGGCATATTAGTTGAAGTGTGTTGCTCACCTTCAACTAGCCCACGATGATTATGACGCGATGATTCTTGCTTATCTCCTGATCTCCATGGTTTTATTCTGGCTCTATGTCTAGTTAATAGACTGTTGAGGTTACATACATACATACATCAGTTTGTCATTCTGTTCATATAAAAGAGAAACGCAGCCTTCTTATACTAAAGGATACTAGCTTTACAAATCAGAATAAGAGGTGAAAACTAAGCTTACCGTGTTGTTGACATGGCCATTTCATCTTTGGTATTTCCAAGGTAGTCACCAATAGCCGCACGACTCACTCCCTTGCGAGTTAAAAGGAAGCGGGCGACACTTTCCGGTGCACAATCCAGGAAGTTCCATTTGATGAGAAAGTCAAGTCCTTTGAGCGGTGATCTGATCATAACAGAGTTCGGAACAAAGTCCAAAGTGATCTAGGGTTTCGCTTGACCACACGTTTAAGAGTTTAAAGTGCATAATGTCCCGCAGTTAATATGACAATAGCCTCAATGATAAAGGTTGAGCATAATATTCAGACAAAACAATGTCGCCAATGCGCAAAGGTGCAGAGAATCCGACTGCATACAACGCAGCCGCTTTGATAAAAGCAGTATGATAATGAATTCCAATGGGACAAGACGGCCGTCTAGCGCCTTCACTAATGTGCTGCGGCTACCTGACTGACTGAAGAATCTTCTCCAAAATAAGGACACTACTTGTCAAAACAGCAGGGACACGTCCCAAACAGTCATCTAAGTCGCTCGACAGAACATCCAGATGCAGAGTAAACTAGAAATTGCGCGTAAAACTAGACGAAGGGAGTGAATTGGTGTGCTTCAACTATGTGAACCCCCCGAATGATGTAGCTAACGGTGATGATAAGGCTGTCGTGGAGTAGCCTAAACTCCGTTTCTGATCACTGGTCATACATTTCGGCACACACTTTGCTGTAAGCTTACACATGACCAGGACAATAGAGATAACAAACTTCTCGTGAGATGCCCAGTATGTGGGCACTTTATAGTGAAGATTCGCCGGTCCTCCATAATCAGTTCATGGATAGCATTGCAGGATGTCGATCAGTTGAGGTTTGGGGACAACCATTGCGGGGCTCAACCTGAATATTGTAATGACCAATGTTGAAACGAGATGTCTTGGTTTTAACAATGCTGTAGGAAAGATGTTTCTAAAGAAACAAAAACATCTTAACGGCCCGTAACTCAAACGACGTGAAACGTGTTTTTGCCGCTGCCACCACAGCTTCTAATTAAAAAACAATTCGTTTTAATCACAAACACCTGATATTTGCACAGTTCGATACTAACGTATCAGAAATCTATGTGCCCCTAAACGCTCTCCTAATTTGTATGGAAAATAGCAATGCTAGGAACATAACGTGACCACCTCTTCAATCGGGAGCACTCATCAGTCTGCCGAACGCATGAAGGCATGAATAACATCCGAAGTCGTCAAAAAAGAATTATGAGAATGTGGTCGAAGACTTGCGTGTTCTGTAGAGCAAATTGACACTTCAACATTATCACGTTCACTGCGTTTCATGAAAACTTGCCCTAACCAAAAGTGAATCTTACACAAGTATAGCAAGCCTAACCGGGGTACACATACGTGCAGTAATTAAACCATGAAATATATACGGTGGCGAATGTAATCTACTCAAACTGAACAGTACCGGTAATGCACAGAAAATAAAGGTTGCTCTGAGAGAAAAAACAAAAAGCATCGCTCTGGTCAATCTGTCAATGAAAAGGTAGGGAAGTTACGAGCGAAATCTGGGATCCGGAAAGCCTGCATCAAAAAGACACGGTAAATAATACCAAAGACTAACTTGTTGAAAAGGTTCAACCCGATCCTGTACGTGCGCTTTCGCCTCTTCTCCCAGACTCGAAGCTGATGTCTGCCTAGTTGGGTCGTGGTGTGATGTATTGGAGCCACTGAAGCGATGGAAGGAGGATGCGAAGTTGATGAACAGCATTGCGCTCCGTTCGACTGGGCTCGGTGATTCACATAGCAAGGAGTCCGAAAGAGGATGTGGTTTGAGTTCGTATATTTTACAGCCAATGGAGCTGAGGGAGTGTGGGAGAGAGGCGCACTGAGATCGCGGTCAAGGGTATAACACTGCTCCATCATCGAGGAAGGCACAGCGACAAAAATCGGTCGGCAGGAGTGATTTGTGTGATATTTACCGAACATTGCATGACAATGTGAGGTGGATTTAGGAAATGTGCGGTTAGAAGTTGATGCCGGACAAATATGAATACCTAGCCGATCACAAGCTGGGACCGAGTACAGGTGGGTTGAGCGATTACGCAGAACAGCGTTTGCGACCGATGTGTGGGCAATATGAGATCTAGGACAGTGTGAACAGGAGCATTGAAATCCAGGTTGTTGGTCCAGACGGGAAGATACGGGGACACTCAATCCGGGTAACATGAATGGGCTAGACTCCGTGGTTGTATGCTGAACATATGGTATGTGGGTAGATCTCGAAGTTGCATGAGGACATCTTAAGTGAGGTTGATCCCACTGGTTCGGAGATATAATCGGCGTAATGATTGATTCCTCGGTCCTCGAGGAGCTTTTGTCAGTGGATGGAGGTGATGACGATTCGCGAGAAGGATACGTTCGACGTCGTGGTAACTCACAAGATAGCATGACAGGAGCAGGACTGTTTGTACAATAAGGTGGTTTGAGTGAATCGACAGTAGACGCCAATCGACCTAAAGAAAGCGCCCCAGCAACCAACGAGGTAGTTACATGACAGGGCCTGTCGTAACGTGTAGGCGCTATATCGGAGAGAGTTGAAAGATGGGCTGAAGAGTGTTGAAAAGCCGATTGTTCCGTCAGTCCCAAATCACGTGGCGATGCAGTACTGGTTACATAGGTTGTGTTCTGTTTCTGTGGAGGGGAAAGCAGTCCATTAATCAAACAACTGCTATCTGACTGCTCCGAAGGATTTATAGCGTAGGAGGCAGGTGTAGGGCACAAAGGAACCAAATCGAACGGCGCTCCATCACACGCAGCTATGCTAGGGACGTCAGAAACAGGCGGAATGCCGTAGGTAGCTTGTGCCGTGGCTGCCTTCAGCGCCCAGTCAACATAGGCTTGTTCGAGAAACAGATCTTCGAGGCTTCCAGAAGATATGGCAGAGATCTGAGATGTGCGTGGATCAAATCTCGGCGAGCGATGGCAAAATTTGTCTGGATTGATGGAGTGTAAAAGTGAACCGTTCGGCTCTCGATTCGCTTCTTTTTGCATGCGCATACGAGCGTATTCGATTTTCAACCGATAAATCCTATAAGCATTCTGGATGATGCGAGCCGCCCGTTGAGAGCGTAAGTGTCCACCGTAGAAGTGCTCGAGCATTTTAATTTCCCTATTATGCGAATCTTCGCTCAGTTTGTGGCTCATTTTCCCCAAAAATGGACAAAATGATTGGGGATTCTCGGGTATGGTTGTGTCAAGTTCAGATGCTGAGGGGTCATCCTCTGAAGGATAGATTGCCGTTTGCCCTGCCGAGGTAGGTGGACACGAGTAGGGAGTATACGAGGTGCAGCAGCCAGAGGAGAATTAAGTGAAACATATCGCTCAGTGTTCGTCGAAACTGCACAGGGGTGCTTTGATACTTGCGGCTGAAGCTGTGAGTAGCACTGGCCACAGCGGCAAAGTGAACTCTGAATGAAGCGCTCGGGGGTAACATAGGTCTCGGCGGATTCTGCACTGACACACACCGGATAGCACCCACAGAAAGTTTGGCAAGCGACAACCCGTGACTCGTTTAGCGTGACACTGCAGGTTGGCACATCTTTTTTGGGAAGTATTGAATTCACGCTGAAAAATGTCTCCGTAGAAGTAGAAAGGCTGAAAAAAGAAAATATGAGGGACAACAATCACCAGTGATGCAAGACGGATGACAATCGTGGCGAACGGATAAATTAAGGTTGATGGATATAAGGGAGGAGGCATCGAGGTCAAAATGGAGGCGTCTAGTCGTAATTACGTAAAACAAACTGTCGCTCCGGGTAACAGGTGAAAGATGAGTGCCCTAATACTTCACGAGCTGCAGAGAGCACATTCATTGAAAAAGTTCCAAAATATCCAGCAAGAAATGCGATAGTAAAAAAACGTAACACAACAAAACTGGCATAGGGATATATGGCTTAGTGCTTTCGCGCATTTTAGTGATTGGAAAATATTGACTGCAGTGTACTGTGAAATCAATAATGAATGATCCGAGTTAAGAGAATGCTAAATATCTATGAGGAAGAAGTACCTCCCTGCTGATTCAAAAACAACGCTGTAGCAATCGGGTAACAGAAATCGTTAAGATAAATGAACGG